ACCGCGTCGACAGCCGCTGCCACCTCGCATTCCGCGTCGAGCACGCTCGGGAACTCGGCCGCAACTACGACGCCATTGAATTCCATTTCCCCTTCGATGTCGAGCGCGCGAGGAACGTCGGCCGGTCGCTGTGGCTTCTGCGACTTCTACGACTACTTCCCCCGCCGCGACCTTTTCGTGGCGCTGCGAATGGCCCCCATATCTCCGACCTGCGGGGTCGCCGATTCGCGAGCTTTTCTCCGTCTCCAGCCGCTCGCGGCAACGCGGCCGTCGGCGTCGCTTGCCCTCGGATCTATTGTGGCACTGCGACCTCGTTCATTTTCCACAACAGGATCCATTCTTTGGGGGTGGCCATGCGCGGCGCGATCGCGGCGGCCATTGACTCTTCGTTGGATATGAGCCGCGAGAGAGAGGGCGATCAAACGCGGGGCCCCGCCCGGGGCTCCGCTGGATCCGCCGCGAGCCGCGCGCGGATGCGTGAGGTCAGCACCTGGTTGAACGTCGCTCAGGACGGATGGCCCCGTCTCTGCAGGCGGCTGCCCTGCAGCGAGGACTTCCAGGCCTTGCCCGAGCGCTGGCGACGCGGACCCCTCCAGCCGTCATCGTCAATTTCGGCGCGGAAGTCAGCGGAGTCCGCCCCGACCCAGCGACGCATCCCATCGATTTCATGGCCCACAGTTTCGAGTGCCTGGGGAGCGAAAGGCAGCCCCTGCAGGGCCCCGAACTCATGGGCCCCCGAGCGCAGCCCAACGAGCGCATCGGCGGCGTTCTAGACAAGGGAGAGATCGCCGGAGGGGAAGCGGATGCCGCGGGCCTCGGCCCCGACAACTTCCAGTTTCTCTTCGCCGCCCTCGCGCGGGCCCTCCGCATTCCACCCTGGGAAGTAGCCTCGCTGCTTCAGCTGCTCAACGGCGCGATGCTGCGAGCCCAGCTGCAGCGCGGCGACCTTTTCGAGGCGCTGCGTCGCCGGCGGCATATTATTGCTCGCGCGCCCGGCAGCGTGGCCCAACTCATGGAAGGGCGCGCCAGGGCCGGTGCCCGCGCGACAGACGCGCCCATGGTTGGCGACTCACTTGGAGAACAAGAAGACCCGCCAGGAACTGGCTCGCGGCCAACGCATGCTGGCCAGAGCGCTCAAGGGGCCCTGGCTGCGCGGGCCCCGCCCGCGCCGCAAGCTGCACCTTCGGCGATGCCAGCGGCAAAGTGATGGGGTTCCCACCTGAAGGGGATGATTGCGGTGCGGACGCGGACGCTATCTCTTCCAGCTGCGGCGCAAAATACATTTGGTGCGATCTAGCCGACCTACCAGAAGACCGACGCGCATAAGTGTCATGCCGTTCGAAGCAGTGCCTCGGCGGCAGGTGGCGGCTTCGCGCGCGAAATCCCGCGCGCCGAGAGGCGCGCCATGGGGCGCGCCCTCGCGGGGAGAGAGCGCGGGGGCCGAGGGTGGCGGAGGCGTTTCGCCGTCGAGGGGATGCAAGCGTGCGTCGCCGCCCTCGCCGACGAGGCTTTCGAGGAGCTGTTCTTTGGGGGGCGCGGCAAGGGGCGATGCAATGGTTCTCGCGACAGGTTGCGACCCTGCAAATTCTGGTCGGCAAGGACGGCCAGGCGATGAAATTCCGCGACCGGCGATGCAGCAGCAGCGCCGCCAGGGGCCGCTGCGGCCCCCGCGCAGCCTGCAGCCGCCGCCGCCGAGGAGGGGGCCGCCACAGGCCCCGCCGCTGCCGGCGGCGGCGCCGCCCGCGGCCCCTCAGCCCCGCTGACCCCCCACCCGAAGAAGCAGCGGCTGAAGCCGTCGCCTCCCTTGTTCGCCGAGTACTTCGCCGTGCAGCAGAACAAGGGCCAGGGGGATTGCTTCTACCTCGCCCTCGGAGCGGCTAACCATGCCGTTCGCAAGAGTGCGAAGCCGCCCAGGCCGTGGGACAGTTAGCCTGGAGGTCGCCTACAGGGTGGGATGCGCCAGGCCACCGCCAGCTACATCAGCTGCCACTTCAAGTAGTTCGACCTGGCCATTACCCTTCCAGACTGCCAGCGAGGCCACGAGGGCGATCACCACGTTCGCCAACGGCCGCTCGGTCAGAGCTGCTACCCTTGCCCTCAAGTCACGCATCATGATTTGGGCCCGCGCGGGTGACCGCTGGGCGCTCTACGGACCCCCGAAGAAGATCAGCAAGCTGTCAGCATGAAACAATCATTCAGGCTCACGTTAGCAGACCAGCACTACGAGCGTTTGGTCCCCAAGAAGCCGCTGGATGCGGCCACTGAGCAGGCTTGGGTCGACGCCGGCCTGCCGTGCCCCGTCGACATCGCAGGGGGGGGCGCAGCAAGGCCTCCAGTTCGCGCCCCACCGAGGCGCGAGCCCGCTGGTTCTTGGGCCTCTCCGCTGCTTCCGAGCACCAGGATCAGGACTCCGAGTTCGCGGGCGTCGACCACGCGCAGCCAGGCGAGCTGTTTCGCCGTCGAGGGTCCTATTTGGACGGCCCCGAGTGCGGACGGCGCGCCACCGCCGCCGCGCCGCAGGAACGGATCCGCGACGCCCGTGTTCACTGGCGTGCCTGCCGGGGAGAGGCCCCTCCCATGTGCCCTCTCTCGTGCCGTTCGACGCTCTCGTCGCTGCATCGTCAGTTGCCGTCCCGTGAGGATAGCCGCAAGCAGTTGCAGAAGAACTACGACGACTGGCTGGCTCCCCGCCCTGATTCTGTCAGCGGTTCTCTCTGCGCCCTCGACTTCCAGCAGGTTGAGCAGAGCGGCGCCAAGGAGAAGTGCAGGTGCACCAGATGCCACACATCCAAGAGAGATTACAATGCCCAGACTGATGGTCTTTGCGTCGCTCGCACTACGACATGCTCAAGGAAGGCCGCCTTGATCTCCAGCATAGGGAGGAAGCTGCCGAACGCAACCGATTGCGACACAGCGAAGTTACAGCCAAGTGCTTGGCGAAAATCATGAGCGACCCAGTCCGCAAGGGAGCTCCGCACGCGAAGATCAACGCGAGGAGCCGCAGCTGGTGGGCTGGGGGCTCCACGTGGGCCCAGAAGCATTCGCGGAAGCGGAAGACCATGCAGGCCAAGCAAGCAGCCGAGCGACGAGCTCTCCCAGTTGCCGAACGTCGGGCCTGCGATCGCGCGAGCTGGGCCAGGCGGGGCGAGCTTCAGAAGCTGGGCGCGCAGAAGTTGGAGGCCATCCAGGCCCGCATCTCGTCTGCGTCGAGCCCAGCGGCATCGTCGTCGTGCTTAGCCTCACCTTCGACATGTTTCACGCCTCTGCAGTTGCGACCACCGTCGGCAGCGATTTCACGTCTTGCACTGGAGCAGTTGTTCACGTCAATGTCTTAGTTCCCTGGCTGGGGGCCTATCTCCCCCAGCCAGGGTCCAGCCTGGCTGGGAACCTGTCTCATCCAGCCAGGCCCGGGGCCCCAGCGCGACGAGCGCCAAGAGTTCTCTTTGCGCGATGCGGTCTCACACAGTTCAGTTGCTAGTTGAGCTCCTACGACGAGGACGCTCATGCTCGGGCCTCCGAAGAGCCAGAGCTTATCGTTTTTTTTCCCGAATACGTAGGCAAGCGCGGTCTCTTATGTTGCGCAAGCCCGAGAACCTGTTGCTGCAAGTGCAGGCCCCTTGCTTGGCGGGAGCTCGTTGCCAAACAACCGCCCCATCGGCGTCATCAGCGTTGCCAAGAAGACCCGCGAGCGTGTTACGGCGATCTTTACGCATCCCGCTGTTAGTGGTATGGCTTTTATGACTTGGCAGGAAGTTCGCTTGCCTCCTGCCCGGCCTCGGTGGCTCGTTCGGCTCGCTGCTGCTCACGGTTGGGGCATCGATTGCTCGCCGCCTCCGCCGAGCGACGGCTTCGGCTACGGAGGCGCGGTCCAGGGCGGCACTGCAGTGCTGTGGCGCCGAAGCCCGGGTCGAGTTTCAGTTCGCCGTTCCAAGCTGCCAGGACATCGAGCGATCGCGGTCCGCGCCGCATCCTCCGCTATTGTCTCCGTGCACGGGCCATCGTGTCCAGACCAGCAGTGTATCACCAACGTGTTGGATTGGGGCCAGACGCTCGGCGACGACGTGGTCTTGCAGGGCGACTTCAACTGGGTCGCCTCCTACGCCAGTCCCCTCTCCTGCCACTGGCACGCGGCGGCGATTGGGACGCCTGCCATTACGTTGGGCCCGCATCCGACGAGAGCGCTGAGATGGGCAACGGCGGCGGCAGCCGCTCCCGACCTCCTGAGCGTTGACTTCGTCGAGGGCATCCCCCACCACGGGCTCTGCACTTACTCCTTCCACCTGCCGGCGGTGGCGCGGTCCGCGGAGAGGCTCTCTCCCCCGCGCCGCGCTATTCACAGCCGACCGCCTGGCCTTCGTGACCGAGTCCGAGATCCAGGTGGTTGCGACCGCTCTGGACTCCACCGCGCCGAGGGTCAACAACGCCGCCGACATCATCCGTCGCTGACGTAACTGGCACGCCCGAGCTGGAGCTGGCCTGTTGCTGACCGTCAACAGTAACTGGAGCAAGCCACCCGCCAGCTCACCAGAAGCACGAGAGCATCGCCCTCCGACGTCTTCGGCGAATGCATCGAAGCTGCACGGAGAGCGTGGACACACGCCGCCGCCGTCACGCCGAGATCACCGACCGCGCGAACGACCGCCAGTTCGAGCATTTCTCGCAGCTGTGCCTCGATGAGCTGTGCGACCCCATCGACGGCTGGCCTAGCTGCGGCCAGTCGTTGGAGGCCGCCAACCGCGCCATCTCCGCTGAGCACCGCAAGGTCGCGATGGAGCGCCGTCGCCACTGGTCCGCTTGTTTTTCTTTTCCCGAAGTGACCCTCTCAGCTTTGGAATATGGCCACAAACTGTTTCAAGCAGGCCCAACCCGCGGTGGGTTTCGATACTGCGGGGATGCGAGCCGAGTGGGCCCCAGCCTGGAGCCCCGGCGAGTACGAGTCAGACCCCGAGGTCGAGAAGTGGAAGTAGTGGGCCCGCGGCGTTTCCTGCCCACTGTCCGACATGGCACTGGACTGGGTCCCGCCCCACCAAGCCTCCGAGAAAGCTGCCCTCAGCACTTGTGGCGCTGCCAGCCTAGACGGCTGGGCGGCTGCCGAGTTGAGGCTCACCCACACCGCTATGCCGTCCCTGATCGCGGAGTTTTGCGACGTCTGGTTGGCCACGACGAGAATGGCGGTGGCTTGCGGTGGCAGACTCCCCCAGCATGTGTCCGACGCCATCTTCGGGTGGCGCGTGGTGGGCATACCAAAGATGGGCGAGAATGAGAGCATGCCCATCAGCGTGGCCTCCTGTCCACTTCGTGCCCCCGCAACCCGCGGACTCTCAGTTCGGGTGCACGAAGGGAGTCGCCCTCATCCATGCAGTCTCAGCCTGGCTAGCGGAGGAAGCCTTGTTCGGACTCGAGCTGGACCTGAGCAAGACCCACGACAACGTGGACCGCGCCCTCGCCGCCACCGCGCTCGCCGCGCAGGGCGCCCCCGAGGCAGTCATCGGCGTCTCCCCGCGTGCCTGGCGCGGGCCGCGCTACTGCGCGGTGAACTCCGAGGTGGCCCCCCCTTTGGACTAAGCGCGGGCCCCCGCAGGGCGACAGCGTCGCCCCTTGCGCGATGGTGGCGACCTCTCCCCCTTGGGAGTGCACCCCGGCGGTTGGATGGGCCTTCATGGGCGACCGCTCCATCACATCCATCTCCGAGGCTGACCTCACCGTCGGCCCGCAGCGCACCATGCAGTTTGACATTGACGTCGATTATACCGAGAACGCCGCCAAGCGCCAGCAGTGGTCAGCGGCGGCGGAGTCCAACTCCGCGGAGCACTTGGGGCTACTCTGCGGCCAGAGCCGCCCTGAGATCCCGATCCAGCCGCGCGGCGGCTGGGGCCAGCTACTTGCTGCAGCGGGTGCGCTTCGGAGCTTTCCTGGCGCAGCTGACGTTCGTGAGAGATTGTGCGCAGCATATCTTCGACCTTTCTGGATGCGGGCTGCGCCCTTCCTCGAGCCGCCGCCGAAGATGATCGCGAGGCTGGTCTTCCGTGTGGTCATCTGCACGCGCTGTGCCCAGTGGTGTTCGAGCCGCTGGTGGCGCCGCAGAGCGCAGCTACATCCGCGGCTCGGACCCGCGCTTCAGGCGACGAAGGCGATCCGCCCTGTGAGGCTGCTGCCCAGCAAGCACTTGGACCGAGCCCTGGCCAGCTACTTCGAGGAGCTGGGGCTGGAGTTCCTTGCCATGACCCGGGGTGGGGCATCGAGCTGAGGGCCGACCTGGACGACGACCCGAGGTTTGTGCACGCGACGGCAGCCTGCCGCGGTCGCGGAGATACGCTCTGAACGGCCAGCAGCGAAGCGCAGCATGCCGTCAGGGTCGTGGCGAGAGTGCGGCGTTTTCAAGGTACGCCACGCTCGCGCAACGACAGAGAAGGAACCGAGGATGTGGATGCGGAGGTTCTCAGCGCTGCGAAGTGGCGCGAGTTCGCGGCCGCCCCGTCGCAAGATGACCGCCAGTTCCTGAGCGTCTTCATGAGCGGGGCTACGCAGTCGAGGACCAGGACTCCGAGTCGGACCGAGCGCAGCCGCTGCTGTTGTTTTTGCGACCACCCTCTGCCCTCAGCACGTCACCTCTTGCAGGAGTGTCCGCAGTTGCAGAAGAGCGGGATCGTCTCCGAGGCGAGTTTCGGCTTCATGCTGCTCTTTGGCAAGCCCAACCGCGAATTACTTCCAAGAGCGGTTGGATCACTCGAGCTGCGGCGCCTTCCTTGTCGAGGTGAGCCGCGATGCAAGTGGCGGCTGTCCGCCTAGGCATGCGTCCCGTTCAGGAGAATTTTGAAGCCGATCCTCAGCGACCTCTTCACTGAGTGGATCTTCGTGGCGTTCAACCCAGAGTCAGGTCACGTCGCTCACCGCCTCTCCCGGCGGTGATCCAAGCGCGCCCTGGCATGCAAGAGGACGAATTGTTAAATGCCTTCGGCGCGATGTGTGGCATGCCGTGGTAGTGAATTCCCATGATTCTCTGCGCTAGAGTTGTCCTTGAACACGCTTTCGCAACAATCAGGGCGAAGTTAGCGCAGGCACCGTTACCGTGCGCCTCGTTATTGAGGAGTTAGTTGATTTCTGCATGAAGCTCGCGGTCGGCCCTATGATTATTTACGAGCAGTGCGAGGTGATTGAAGGGTCGAGCACGGATGAGTCATGGACGCCGAGGCTCGCGCTGAGGGTTTGCTGGTATGAGGCCAAGCCAATGGCGGCGATATTCAGCAACCACTATGTGATTGGCGCTTGCGATCCCCCGCCGCAGGGACATGCGTCGTCGCTCCCGTCGCCATAACGAGACGGCGTGCTGGCAGGCGTGGCTGCCTGCCACTTATTTCCAGTTATGGGCCAGAGGAGGCCGCTGGATGGCCGATCCGAACAGTGGCGCCGTGTTAAAGACGCTGCGTTCATATAATCTTGTGTTCTGCAGGTATTTCCGCGAGCCAGGTCGCAGCGTCCGGGCAGCGGTATTGTTGATCGCAGTGCGAAACGCATCAGGCATGACGATTCCGGCTGCTGGTTAGATGGCCACGAACACGACGCGGCGTATCGGGTTCGGACATGTGTGAGACCATTGATAAGGCAAATCATTATTTTGCTCTCCATGTGGACGATATGTGGATTGTACCCCGGAGCAAACGCGCCACCAGGGTGGCAGGGCGGCCGCGCCAGCTAGGTCCGTTGGTCGCCACCACCGCCGCTAGGTGACTATCCGCCTCCTTGTCCTTTCCCCCCTGTTACTTGCTACGGTCGGTGGGCATATACAGACAGGACATCGCGCGCTAGGAGACCCCTGCGCGTTTACGCCGCAGTGCGTAGCCGCCTACCACCTGTGAAATTGTGCTCGCTACCCAACAGCGCAACATTGTCCAGCGGAGTTGGAGACTCGGCCAATATCTTACTTGATTCTGTAAATCCTCATCCCGCTCGCTTTATATGAGTTCTTCACGTCGCACTCGTCGGCCGCTCTGGCTGAGAGGGGGCGTTTGAATTTGGTTTTGCGATTTGGGTGCGGAACATAGACGCGCCTCTCGCAGCCAAGTGTTAACGTTACCGCTGGCATTTGGCTCAAGCATTTAACCGTGGATTACGTTTTGAGCCCAGTTGTAAAACACATCACTACGCACCGTTCCCGCGCAATTCCTTTTCAGATATCTGCATAAATCAATCGGAAGAGGATGAGGTACCCATGCTGCTACCTTTTCCGTCATTTTCATTTTTTGGGTTTCGTCAGAGGCCCTTGGAGACCCACCTCGCCACGGCTTGGTTCGCCTCGAAATCCCCGTCCGAAGGCGCCCCGGAAAAGGTTCACGAATAGCGGTGTTGGTATATTGTTGTTCCCCCCTGGACAGTTCCCCGAGGTTCTGGACAGGGGCGCGGGGGGGCGTTCCGGACAGGGGCGCGGGGGGTGTTGGAGCGACCTTATTTCTTCTTCCCCCCCGCCCCCGCAGGTCTTGAGAGTTTGGCATCGGTGGCGCCTCTTCCACCAACCAAGCTTCAATCGGACATTCATAGGTGTCTGGGCGACCTTTCACGGTAAACTACCAGGTTCAAGCGTCGTACCCATAGTTGTTTATGGTTCAAAGTTGATTATCGGGGTTTTACGTTTTTCCGCGGCTGACTTCTTTCTCCGTTCGGCCATCGTTCCATCCTAGCCCGAGGGACATTCACAGTCAGCCGCCGCATCAAGGCAGCTCGGTGGGAGACCCAAGATCAGGAGGCCCCATCGTCGCGAGATGGGTGGCGGACCCTGTGGTCGGGCGGTTTCTGCTCTGCCTGGCGCCCAGCGGGTTTCCTCCCTCCCGCCTCCTCCCGCGCCGCCACCTGGCGCCTTGGCCGCCGCCAGGCGCACCTAGCCGGCGTTTTAGCCCCCGCCGCACCGCTTCAGCAATTCAGCATATTGGGGGCTTCGGCCGGCAACATTTGTCTGCAGCCCACGTGCACTGGCGGAGCCCCTCACGTGCTCCTCGTTCGGCCATTCGGACCGTGTTTCTGCATCCTGCCGGCGCCGTTCTTCTGCCTCAGAATCTGACGTTCTCGGCATCGTGGTGAGCATTCGGATGCTTCCGCTCTTGCCGCCATGGATCCTCTTATTGCTGTTTTCCGTGGCGCACTGATTCACCTTATTTGCTCATCACGTTTCCCGCGCCTGCAGCCCTGGCTTCGGTCGTCTAACGCCGCCCCGCGGCCACTTCCAGGACACTTCGGCCCTGGCTGGCCGCAACGGCGCGCTCATCCTGAAATTCTTTCTGGGTGAGTGCCCTCCTCCCCCTTCTGTCTTTCGAGGCCGCCCTACCCTGCCTGTTCTTCTCGTGCAGCCGGACAATTCACACGCTGAGCGCCCCCAGCTACACGAGCGCGCGTGCGTAGATTGTTCTGCCGCGCTGCGACGTAAAAACTGGTCTGCGGTAAGGGAGCGTGGCCCTACTTGTCTCATGCGTGTGGCAGTGTTTGCACTATTTTGGTAGTTCTTATTCAGCACATGCTGCCACATTATCCCCCATACGGCACACAGTTTTGCACCTGTGGCACCAGTGACCCCTGACGTCCCATCACATCACCACAACCAGGAATGGGCGTCTAAGCCTGCGCCCCTCCATGCGCCGGAGGCGCAGCCTTCCCGCCGCCCCCGCCGCCATTGCCTGCCGATGGAGGAGGCCCAGCAGCTAAGGCGGCGGGGCAGCTGGACGCAGAAGATGCAGGCCGCCCGTCTTGGCCCAACTATCTGTTCTTACGCCTCCCATTTCCCACTCTCCCCACCTGTTCATCCTCACAGCATTCTGCCCTCTCCTCAATTCCCTCGCCGTCGTCGTCGTCGTCGTCGTCGTCGTCGTCGTCGTCGTCGTCGTCGTCGTGGCCGTCGTCGTCGTCGTCGCCTCCTTCCCGACCCGAGGCGCCGCGGCTTTGATTTGCGGTGATCTCGTCCGCTGCTGGGCTGGATGTCTGGTGGAGGTGGCCTTCCTTCGCCGCTGCAAGCTGCGGGCCGTCCAGGAACGGTAGCAGTGGGTGGAGTGGCCACCACAGACGGGTGTCGATGCAATGAGGGGGCGGAGGAGAGGGGAGAGAGCAAACATAATGAAATTGCAGGGTTGGGGGAATGACCAGCATGGAGCGCATTTGTTCTCGCCTCATCGTTTCGTCAGTGAACCACGTGGCGGTTGGCTGGAATAGAAGGGGCGGGCGACGAGAGTGAGGAACACGAGAGGAACACTGAGGCTCGCGACCAGGGCGCCCTGGTCGCGAGCCTCAGGGAAGGGGCGGCGCGCAGGCTCCCGCAGCCCCCCCCATACACATGTCAGCAGTCTCCTCACACGTTTCGCGGCTCTCCAGGGAGCTCCACCTGCGGCCCTAGCGGGTGAGTCCATGTGCGGCCGCCCCATCATTTTTGGCACAACCCTCACGCGCTTCGTGTCTGCATAGGGGCTCCACCTACGTGGGTACGTCCACATTTGGTTCCCCGCTCATTCCGGCACAACCCGAACGTTGCGAACCTCCATGTGGAGATCCACGTAAGGCCCCAGTGGGTGCGTGCACATGCGATTCCCCGCCCATCTCAGCACACCCATCATTCGTTTCGTAGCCCAAAAGGGAGCCCCCCCTCCTTCGTCCCACCTGCTTCGCGGTATTTCAATCTGCATGTGCCTGCGGCTCTCGCCAGGATACTTTGAAAAGGATGGTGGTGGGGGGCCTCATGGATCTTGGTTGGCGACTGGTCGGGTGGTGGAGGGGTTGTTTATCCACTTGCCTGCGGCAAGTCCCGCCACCGTGCCATCCCAGCATTCTGGATGCCGATTTTTAGATGGGCACGAGAGGCCATTACGCGTGATGCCTCGGAGGAGAAGGAGGAGCAGGAGGAATGAGGAGGTCGGGGTAGGTCGTCACGTGAGGCACCCTTCGTCTGCCCTCTTGGCAATGTGACTCTAAAGCGAGCTGAGGGACGTAAGGAGTGGAAGCGAGCGTGCGCCCGCGGCCGCGTCGGCTCAAGCGGTCGGCCGCCCAGATTTGACTGTGCCTCACGGCGAGGCACACAATCGCTATCGAGACCAAAAGGATCTTCCTACTGCTTGAGATGGCATCTCCTCTCATACTGGGATTATCGCTACTACGGTACAGCAGAGTTGGAACGTGGCGTCGCCTGAGGCGAAGCTGTTAGCTGGGCCTTCCAGCCCCCGACAAACTTGGTAGCGGAGCTGGCCTGTGGTGGTCAGCTCTAGCTCTTCTCCTCACAATCCACGGCGTTATCTTGTAGACGACAGATACGGTGGAACATCAGGGTTCAGTTGGATTGCGCGGGGGAGTGCATGCAACTACGCAGTACCGCAAGGAAATGTGCAGCGATACCTCTGTCCAAGCGGAGGTCTCTCACTCACATCTGACATCCCTGCGCTATTACACTCCTGACGTCCACCCACCTAGTCCGCTTGGGAATTTCTTCGAAGACATAATGCATGGAAACATGCGATACGACATACTGCCGCCTCCGACCCCACGCAGACTTACGACGACAAAACATAAGTCACCACCGACCTGGCGCTGCGGGCCGCGCGGCGCCGCGGGCTGCGCTGCCACCGGCCGCTGCTGCGCCGGGCCGAATCGGCCATCGGCGTGGCCATCTGGCGCCGGGCAGCGGCCATGGTCCAAGCCTGCCTCCCCGCGCTGTCCCCAGAGGAGGAGCGCCTCCTCTTCAGCGAGGCGTCGCCGGCCTGGGCGCGGGCTTGAGGCCGGCGCAGGGGTCGTCAGCAGTGGCTTGTGATTTCGGCATAGGGATTGTGCCGACCAAACCGTATGTATGTTTGGAACAGCACAGAAAAAGGCCATTGGATTGTGGTTACTATATTTGGGCTCATATGGGTCGCTACTGGGTGTGCGGTAGGACATATGCGGGGCGGAGACGACACTAGAACGACTGGCCCCGATTGGGACCCTGTCGGTCAAGTACCATTTCGCGAGTTCGCCCGCGAACTACATGCCTGGATCAATGTTGCCACCGGCAACAAAACGCCCTCCCGGCAAGCCGCCGCATTGCAGCGAGGTTTGGGAGGTCTCGCACGGACTATAGCCATGAGAGTCCCCCCCAGCAGTTATTCATTTCGGCGTCAATATCGGCGGTCGCCACACCGACGGCGTCACCTACTTCATGTTCCTCTTACGTGCGAAGTTCGAGAACCTAGAAGAGGAACGCCAACTTAACTATGGTACGGCTCTCATTGACTATCGAGTCCATGCGGGTGAACGTATCGACCATACGTTCGCACGGTTCGAGATAGCCCGCTACGAAGCTGAAGCCGCCGGCTTCAATATCCCCAACTTCCAAATCCTAACAGGCAGTATATTCAGAGCTCTTGGAGTGGGGGCATCGCGTGCACAACAACTCTTGCAGCTTCTGAACCACCACATGCCGAGGGACCAACCACAATTTGACGCTCTACTTAAACTTGAACGGAAATCCAAACGAGGCCAACGGTAAAACCACGAAGTGCGACATATGCCACAGCGCGCAACATTTCCGACGCGGATGCCCCCACGGTGACGGAAGAGGCAGGGGTCCGTCAATACGTCTGGCTCGAACGGACTCCGACATACAGCACGTTGATTGGGAGTCGCTTCTAGCCGACCCTGCCGACGGCTCAGCCACACTTGTTGAATTCATGGTTGCCAGGTATCTAAGGGCCAGCATGACGAGCTGTTCGAAGAGGTGTTCACTGGCCACAGCGATATCGATTTGGCAGAATGGCTGGGTGCACCCATCCCGGGGCAACCTGCAGATATTGGGTTTGTCGAGAACTTCCACGCGCCCGCCGAAGGTGATTCTGGCGTGGCGGGGGCACCCGCGGACTCAGATTCTACCGTTCTTGCAACAGATGAGGAAACGCATGCAATGCGCTATCATCGGGCGATTGGAAAACCGACAATCGCGGAATTGATCGATGATGATCTCTTTGCGGGGAAACCCGCGCGACGTTGGTGATCCATCTGAGCGCGTTCAGGATGAGCTTGGGCATGATGAAGAATTTCAATATACTTCTGTTGCGTCAGATCGGTCCGCCGGCAGCCCGAGGCAATCGCCAGGCCGCCTGCCCTTGATAGGGAAGCGCTAGCATGACGATCCAAGTCTCTCCCCAGTGGACGAAGAGGACGAGCGGGAAGACGATGGCCGCGTGATACGTCGCGGTCGGGCCTCCAGTCACCAGATCGTGCGCGAGCCCGCTCTAGCGGTGCTCGTTCGAGCGGTGGTCAGCGCCCTTATCCCCCTGATGCGGGAACCATACGGGGGCCGCCGTGGCAGGCGACAAGAGCACATGCTCCCCCAAGGAAGGATCGTCCGCGGGGAAGCCCGCCTCGAGATGAACAACATCGAGGAGGAGAATATCCAGAAGGTGACATACAGCGTTTGAAAGGCTACACTGCAGCTGGATAGGCTCGCCAGCGCACACCCGCGAACCAGATGGAACACTGCTTGGAAAGGGGTTGGATTGGGCATCGAATCCAGCACTGGCATTCCCTTCGTCAGGTCAAAGGAGGAGATGACGCAGGAACTGCCATTCGTTCAATGGCGGGACATGCCAAATCGCAAGAGAAGATGGTCACGCGCGGTCTCAAAAGGGCCATCATCGAGGATCGAAAGCTCCACAGGGGCGTTTGCCGCGCATGCCCCAGTCGCGCTGATCACAGGCTCGGCTGCCCCATGAGACGCCCATCAAGAAGCCCGAATTTCAAAGGAACACCTTGGGTTTGGTCTCGCGGGGGTGATCGGGGTCACTGCGTTGGTCCCAATACTGCGCCATATCTTGAGCAGCTGACGGAAAAAAAGGATTGCGACCCCGCCACCGATGCAAAAAAATAGCTCGTTCACGCCTCGTTTGGCAGAGCTGGACACCTACTCATTATCTGGTGCAATTCAATCGCGAGTGGCGCGCGGGGGAACCTGCTGATCAGAAATCAGAAGAAGACGGCCAACAAGAAGCTGGCGAAAATGAAGATGATGAAATGGCCGAAGGAGTTGATGCTGCGGGCTTCGCCCTTGATGGCGGTGAGTCAAGCGATTCGGGCATCGCGGACGTTGCGTGCGAGACGGATGCTCCGATTGACCCCGAGTGCGTCGTCACAGGATATATGGATCTATATCGCGGGGGGCAGTTTGTTTACCGTGCTGATACTATTGGCTGGATAAAGACGCGCATAGTAGATGGACGAAGCGCCGATAAGCGCATAGTTGCGCACAAACACAAGGTCCCAATTCAGAAGATGGCCCTCAGGAGGCCAGGCGGCATCGGCGTGAATCCCGACCGGGGTCGCATGCAATATGCGCTTGGGATGCCGGCAGGAGCCGCGGCAATGGCGACTCCCAAGCCGAAGCCAGAGACGATCGAATTTCTTTCTTCTTCTGATTCATCAAGCCCATCTCTTGGCCCTGATCATTTCAAGTTCAAGAAAAAGAAGCGGCAGATCCCAGGTGATCCCAACCCATGGGACAGCAAGCCGCAGCGATATGCGGGGCAACCTTCTGATCGACAGCGACCCAGAGGACCAGCAGTGGCCGCCGCAGCCGCTTGATTTCTGGGCACCAGCGCGCCCACTCCAAAGGGCCCTGTGCCACGTCGCGGCCCTGCACCAGGTCGGGCGCGCAGGACAGGATGGGCGCCCGCGCAGGAAGGAAGGACAAGTGATGCTTCTTCTACGCAGCGCGGCACTGAGAAGCTCTCTGCTACCACACCCAGGGGGCCAGGAGCAGCGCCCAGAGATCAGACTGCCGAGTCCTACAACATCAAGGAGAAGGAGCGCCAGGACTTCGATACCAGTACCCCGCCAGGAACTCCAAGGACGCCCAGGGATCTGTCGGCGCTGCCGCATCGGCGGCGAGCGCAGCAGCGCCTGCCGCGCCAATGGCAGCCCCACGTTCCGCGGGGCGACCTGCTCAGAGCTCTGCGGGGCAACCTGCCCAGAGTTCAGCGGGGCATCCTGCCCCTGCGTTGGAGGCACCGCCGGAATGT